GCCGTGAAGCTGGCGGCTTGTGAAGGCGGCGTTTTTCCTCTCCAGAAGGGAGTCTCTGCCTCTTCCACCTCAGTTAGGATTGTCCGTTGTTGCAGGAGATCCTCTCATCCAGTTTTCAGTTCTGTCTCAGGGGTAATTTTTCCACGAGTAGTTGTAAATTGGCTGTGTCCACGGGAGGAGGTGAGCTCCGAGTCTGCTTACGCCGCCATCTTGACTCCTCCACCTCTCCAAATTGCTGTCTTTTACAGATGTTAGCTTAGGGAGAATCTTCGCCTGCAAAACAACAAAAAAAAAATGTTGTCTTTTAGAATCTCTTTGATGCTCAGTATGCCTGAGGACACTTTCTATTGGGTAGGGAGAGGTTCTTTTAATCTTCAACTTAACATAAGAGAGCCTTATTTTCCCAAAGATCAAAGGCTCCTTAATTTGCTGTGCAGGGTCCCTAGGTCAACATCCCCACTGCATTTGGGGTCTGCATTTGCCGCAGAAAAGTGCTCCCACCTCTGTACTTTAGCCTTGAAAGTAGGGGTGGAAAGATTCTTCCAATTTGTCCTTATAAGGAGGGAACAAGACTTACAGAACGTAAAAGTGAGGAGGCTCTAAGGAGTCAACCTGGTAGATGGCTCCAGGGAGAGGGGACCCTCCTGAAACAAGGGGCAGCTAGCCTTCCTAGTGTGAATCTGCACCCAGGCTACCCCAATCCCAGTGTCACGGGCATCTTTACAGAATCTTATTCTTGCCAACATTGTGCTGTCAATAAAAGCTCATCGACTCCTTAGGGAAGCCTCCGACTCTCAATCTGTAGTGTTAGCATCTTTTCTCCTTCTTCCCATTCCTACCTCCGTGAGTCCCCAGCCCCAGGCCACCCCGCCAGCCTGTCTTCATGGTTACCATTTCCAGAATCAGCTGGGCAGAAGCTTCTGGGTAATGCATTTACCAAATGATAGCTAAACAGCCAACTCCTAGGGCTCCACCCTCGACTGTCACAAAACCCATCTGCAATCTGAAGATTGTTCTGTTTCTGTTTGAATACTCTCAAGACCTGTTTTCTATTCATAGACCTTTATTGCTCAGTTTGCTCAGTTTTCAGTTTTGGTAAGCATTTTACAAGTTAGAGGACAAACTATTTTATGTCAAAGTTTAGAACTTGTGCAGAGACAACATATTTTGTCTTAATTCTTGGAATATGTTTATTAACATCACAATAGGATTGTGGTTTGCCAGTAGGTAGTGGGTTTTAGCCACAGCATCTTTATTTGCCACCCATGTATCGTTCCCATAAGATTTCATCACTATTGGTGGAGCAAATACTCAGGCCCAGATACCATGTGTATTTTCTTCAATACGTAAAATATGTAAATGTCTTATGTTTGTGTGAATGTTTTAAGTTCATGTAAAACATATTGGAGCACATGGGAAATCTCTTGTGGCGAGGAGACTCTTAGGAGATCACAAAGCACCTGGGCAGAGATGGGACTCAGCCCCAGATCATCCAATGCTAATGCCCCTAGCATTCTGTCCAGTTCATTGTGCTGTCTTACCTTCAGAAGCAAGTATGAATACTTTGCCACTTTCACATATTATTTTCACAGAATTATTTTGTTTGCCATATGATTAGAATGAAAAGGAAGACTTAGTGATCTCTTCTGCTGAGGCATGTTTCATATCACATTTTATAGAGATATATTATCACATAGATATAATAACAAACATGGTATAATGTTGGCATCAATGGTGATACCACAAAGATTTCTGAGGCAGCGACACCAAATGAGGCAGAGACATTTTAGCTGAGTGTCCCTGCCTGTTTCGGAGAGTTTGATGGCATTTTCTTGGGAACGTGTGATAAGTGTGCCATATAGAGAGATGGATTGGCACATGGCCAGAGTACGAGGCAGATGCCAATGGGGTGAACACCAAGGGAAGCCCCACAGTCAGATAGGGTACTGAATTCAGGATTTTTCTATGGCAAACAGTAGTGCCTGACCTCAGGTCCCCTAAGTACTCTCTTTAGCCCCTGCCCACCTGTACAGAACTGCCCTGCTGGCTCCCTGTCAGGCCTGCTCCGCAGACATGTGCTGGGCTGCAGCCCAGGAGGCCCTGTTCCTCCTGTCCCTGCCTGGTCAACCCTTTCACGTCTTAAGGTCCTAATCCAATATCACCTTCTCTAGGGAGCCTGTCCAATTGTCCACCTCCTCTCCCCCTTCCCTCAATCTTGTTAATCAATGGGTTTGTTTTTTTGTACTTCCTAATACAGTTTATTTTCTTATGTAGCTCTGAACTATTTTATGCGGCAATTGATCTGTTTATGAATCTCTGTCCTCCACTAGGTAGGAGGTCCTGAAACACAGCAGCTGAGCCTCTGCAGTGACCGTTGTGTGCAGCTCAGGGTCAGTGGGCAGATCCTGGGTTAGCAGACACTGGGAGAGGCCGTGCTCTGTGAAGGGAGAGGAGGTTTGATGTTGGACTGAGGACTCTGGGTCGTGCCACACAAGTGATGGAGAAAGCTATGGCAAGGTCCCCCGTGAGCGCTGACAATGCCAGTTGCCAGGAGGCAGGAGTGGGAAGCACACGGTGGAGTCCATGAGAACTCAAGGAACAGGTACTGGAAAGGGAGGTCGAGGAAGGCAGCAGTGGCCCAGGGGATGACAGCGTGGTACCCCACAGAGAAGACTGTCAGGTTTGGAGTATTTTCTTCCTGAACCCAACTGTGCCTCATGTGTTTTGTATCCTTGGGACTTAACTTAGAAAAACTTAATGAGCAATGAAAGCAAAAAGAACCACTGATTGTGCAGCTCTCTAAAAAAGCAAATGGAGTTATTAGGATTGAAAACAGTGGTTAATATCTAAATTATTTGTATTTGCCACTAAAAAAACCCAAACAAACTCCAGTATATGCTGCTCATAAGGCTCTTATTTTTTTTCTTGTTTTTTTTTTTTTTTTCGTGGTTTTGACCACAGCACTTGGAATGGGGAAGAGCAGACGGGGTTCATCTGGGGAAGGTAAGGGTGAAGCCCCACCCTCAACTTTGTGGCTAATGTTTAACCTTAATTAAATGAGGCCTCTTGCTGCTCACCTCTTTCAAATTAATTATCTAAACAAAAGAAAGCTCCTCAGAACAAATACTCTGTAGGAGTTCAGCCTTTATGTAAATAGTCTGTTGTTTGGGACCATATTTGCATTTTATGGAGATTTTCTTGGTGAGATTTCTTGGGGAAATCTGGGGAACAGATGGGCTAGAAGGAGCTGCAGCTGAGACCTGGACCAGCCAGGAGAGGAAGAGAGACTGAGACACACAGAGGGGGGCTGGAATGCTGAGAAGGAAACAGGTAGGACAGAGGGAAGAGGCCAGGGCCCAAGGCTTGGTCATGGGACAAGGATTGACTTAATTTTACAAAAATTTCAACCATGTAAAAATAATTCCCCTCTCTTTACACTATTTTCTGGGAATTGTAATTGCAACTTAATGAAGTGATTTTAACATTGATTTAAGTTTTTTCAAATGGGATTTTACAGCTTTCTAATGGATTCTGGCTCTCATGGTAAACTCAGGGAATCACAATGAGCTATGGAATTTACAAATTTGGAAGTGTAAGGGAGCAGAATATGCCACCCCACAATATGTCTGTTTGGCATGTGGATTGTTTGGGGCTGATTACTTTTTTTTTTTTTTTTTGGTGAGGAAGACTGGCCCTGAGCTAACATATGTGCCAGTCTTCCTCTATTTTGTATATGGGATGTCACCACAGCATGGCTTTGATGAGCAACGTGTAGGTCTGCGCCCAGGATACGAACCCATGAACCCTGGGCTGATGAAGCAGAGTGCATGAACTTAACCACTATACCACTGGGCCAGCCCTGGACTGATTACTTTTAAGAAACAGCAGACACAGAGAAAGCTCAGAAAAACTGGATAGAAGTTACTCTTTGTAAGAGACATTTACATTTATAAGGGAAGTCTCCATTTGTAAGGGTGTCTCCCTCTCAGTACCAGGAAAAAGAGGTTGACTAAATCTCTAAAAACTCTTATCAGTGGGGAAGGCAAGGACTAAAACTCTATGATAACCTTGCCCTTGTTTACTGTGCTTTACCTGGTCCCTTTCCATAACTGGCCCCCACCCCCAACATTTTTTGGTCTTAGGTGGAGATGGTCTTTAACACAGTGGCTTGGGCCATTTTGGAGAGTTACTCAGTTTTCTTGGATATCTCCCAGGTATACAGGAGGTATACATGTTATTAAACTTCTGTTTGTTTTTCTCCTGTTAATTTCTCTTTTATGATTACAGGAGGGGATCTCAGCCAAGAACTCAGAAGGATAGAGGGAAAATTATTTTTCCTCCCCTACAGAGGAAAAGAGGTGGAGTAAGCATATGATGAGGAAATAAAGAAACAAACAGAAAAGTACAAACCCAAGGGAGGCAGCTCTGTGGCTTAATGACAAATGTATTGTCTGAGGGTCAGCAGACATGTGTTGTGGGCCAACTCAACCTCTTGTGGCAGCAGAATTGCACGTAAACAGTCAGAGCAATTAATCCCCCAACCCAACCACACGCATCAACTCATAGCAGCACTCAAACAGCAGGCACTTAAAAAAGGTAAAAGTAGCCACTTATTTGTGGGCATAGAGAAGTGCAATTAACCACCCACCCCCCCCCCCACCTCCAGGACAAGACACTTTCACTGTCCAGTCCAGGCTGTTGGAAGAGACTGTGACAATGATCCTGTTACTGAACCAAAGAGGGTTCGCTTCTTGGTGATTTGAAATCAAAGCCTTCACCAGAAGCAGTTGTCACACAAAGTAAAATTTATTTGCAGCAAATAAAGAGACCACGGGGAATCGCTTCCAAAACCATGGCTCCTGGGCAAGGGAAAACAGGTATCTTTTATTTCAGATGAGGAATGAATATTTAAAAGGAAAGTTTCATCATCACATGCAGAGGTGGGCATAAGCTCACGCAGGTGCGATTTGGAAACGTGCTTTCGCATACATCACATGTTTTGCTAATATGGCTTAAACTCCTCCTGGGGTGGAGATCTTAACATTAAAATAAAGCAAAGGTAACCCTTGGACACTTCTCAGCCCATGTGCACAGGCGTCACCCTTGTGGTAGGGTTTGGCCAGCTTAGGGTGGTTGGTAACTGCATCTCTTAACATCACTGAAGAAACAGTAAAGTGCTTCCAACTCAACCTCCTTTGATTTACTTGGGGAGGTTAGTCAGTGACAATCCCCGCTTAGACAGGGACTCAACTCTGGGTTCCTGCCAAGTCTCCAGTCTGCAGGAGAAGAAGGGAGAGTCTGCAGGACTCAAGCCCAGTAGGAGGCTGTGTCATCTACTGTAGCCCCCACACACCCAAAGTGCTTCATCTTTAGAGAGGCTGCTCCTCTGTCTCCAACACCTCCACAGACATAGGTCCTAAACACCACTCACACAGGGCTCTGCCTAAGATCCAGCCAGACGAGACAAAGAGGAAGGCAATGCATAATTATTAGCCCAACTCTTATCTATTTAAGGAAGCTAAATGTGGTATTCATTAGGAATTATATTTTTATGGACAAGTCCCACATACCAGTAGAAAACTAATCTTGACTCACTGTACATTGTACACAAAACATGCTCATTTTCTGAACTTACATATTCAGTGTGTTGCTTCTCCTTTCCTATGGATACATAATCATGAACATAAGTGAAGAGATCTTTTATATGCTTGCTGTCTGTATTAGCCAGAGGAACAAAGCAGTCGGCTAGGTAGATAGACAGATTTATTACGAGGAATTGGCTCACATAATTATGGAGGCTGAGGAGTCCCATAATCTGCCATCTGCAAGCTGGAGATCCAGGAGACTTAATGGTATAATTGAGTCCAAGTCTGAAGGTCCAAGAACCAGGGAAGTTGATAGTGTAAATCCTAGTCTGACGGCAGGAGAAGACCAACGTCCTAGCTCAACAGTCAGACTGAGAGAGAGAATTCAACCTTCCTCTACCTTTTTGCTCTGTTCAAGCCCTCAGAGGTTGGACCAGGCCCACCTACATTAGGGAGGACCATCTTCTTTACTCAGTCCACCATCCAAATGCTAATCTCATCCAGAACACCCTCAGAAGCACACCCAGATAACTGGTTTAACCAGATATCTGGGCACCCCATGGCCCAGTCAAGTTGACACATAAAATTAACTGTCATATTGTCTTTATTTATAAAATAGGGATTCATTCATTCATTTATCAGATACTTAAAGAATGCTTATTTATGCAGCCTGGCCCCGTGGAAGGCATTAAGTATACAGTAGTATTCTGTTTATCTGTTGCTATATAACAAATTAACCCAAATTTACCATCCTTAAAACAACCACATTAATTTGCTCATGGCTTCCATGGAACTGGAATTTGACAACAGCAGAGAAGGAATGGTTTTTTCCTGCTCCATGATGTCAGGGGCTCAGCTAGGAGACCTGAAGGCTGGGGTAATTCAATGGATAATCATATAGAGCTGTGCTGTCCAATCCAGAAGCAACTAGCCTAGTGACTATAAGGATGTAAATTAAAATTAACATTTTGTTTCCTGAGTCACGCTATCCACATTGCAAGTGCTCAGCAGCCACACACGAGTAGTGACTACAGTATTGGACAGCACGGATATAGGACATTTCCAGCACCGTGGAAAGTTACACTGGACCGCACTGATCTAGAGGCATCTTCATTCCCAGGTGACTCTGGTTGGGACTTAGCTGGGGATGTGAGCTGGGCCATCTTCAAGTGGCCTGTCCATGTAGCCTGTGCGTCTTCACAACATGTGTCTCTTCTCACATGTGTCTCAGGGCTCTGAATCTGAATTTCCCAAGAGAAACAGGCAGAAGTTGATTCATCTTTTAGGACCTCACTTTGGAAGTCACAGAACATCACTTCTGCTGTGATCAGTTGGTCAACAGTCACTTAGGTTGTCCTGGCACCAAGGGGAGTAGGCACAGCCCCACATTTCAATGGGAGGAGTGTCAAAGGATGTGTAGACAGATTTTAAAGCTACCACCATAGAGAACAAAACAAACAAGTACCCTTCCCTTGTGGAGTTTGCTATCTGTGTGGAAGAGAGAATAATCATCAAGTAAACAATTAACATAAAAACACAAATTGGATAGTCTTGTGAAGGAAAAGACAAATGAAGTGTTATGAATGAGAAGACCCGGTCACAGGGCTTGGTTGGTCCCAGACACTGTCCTATGAAAGCTGTGCTGCTTCACATTGGGTGAATCTCGGGAACAGACATTTGCCAGCACATCTTCCTGTTTAAGGCATGTCTTCACTTACAAGTGTCGTAGCACAGAAGCAAGAGAGCTGTGCTGGGGAAGACTGGACCCCAGTCTTCTGTCACTGCTGCTGATGTAAATGGTCATCACTCCCTGATGGAGCTGCACAGCAGACCTTGGGCTGGAGCTCGCCTTGGTCTTCACTGAAGCAATTCTGCTGATGTTGAGAGATCAGGGAGGCATTCCAGGTGAGAAAACAAAGAGCATGATTCTAGACTGCCATCCTAAAATGGTATGAGAACTACATGAATAAGAGCAGGAATAAACAAAGGCCAAGTGGGATATTTCAGATTATGGGGACAGTTGCTTTGAGGCTTTAGAGCCGTTGCAGTTATTTACATATTTCTGAGCCTGTCCCCAGTAAGCTTCCACCAGTCCACCTGTCAGTGCTTCACTTTGGGCTAACCACTCAACATAAAACATAGTTGATGATGACACATCTTTTAAAATCAGGGGCAGGAATTGATTTGGAGAAAGGATGAGAATGTGTCATTTGCATGGGGTGCCACTGGGCTGATGAGCACCCTTCTGGCTAAAGAATCCTCCTGCACAGCTAAGAGATCACTTCAAGCAAAGCCTGTGATGAGAAAAATTCCCTGGGACCATGTGCATTTCTGCTGGCGATGGATCATTTTTTGTTTGGTTATGATTTATTTGGTGTTTCAAAAGAGATGATTGCTGCCTGAAGGTCCATTCTTTCCTTCTGGAGACAATTTTATGCCCCCTGTCTTGGAAGGAAGATCTATTTTGCCTCAGAGGAAAATTACCTGTGATGTACAAAATATGGCACTGTGAAGTCAACAACACAACAACACAACAGCAAAAGTAACCTCTGCTGGAGAAAGATGCTTTGCACTGTGAGGGATGAAGAAATTTTCCTCTACCCTTCTAGGTTCTTCTGGCTAGCCTAAGAATTAGATTGATATGAGACAGATTAACAGAAGAAAATCAAATTTAATTTTGTACATATGGGAATCCCACATACTTGAGAGAGTCGGAGACCCTGCATACAGGAGAAGTTCAGAGACAAAAAGCTAAAATGAGTTAGATATGCCATCTGGAGCTAAGGAATGGGATAGGGACCTGAGGCTTCAGAGGGGAGGAGGGTAATTCACAGGATGATAAGAAGAGCAGGTGTTTAGTAATTAGAAGTTTGCCTTGTTACAGATAGGTCATACAAATTTATTTCTGGTAATAACTCTTATTATGGACAAGGCCCTCAATTTAAATTCTTTAAGGGGAAGGTAAAAGTTTTGGTGGTGAACTTGATGTAATCTGTGCAGAAGTGAAGGTGTAGTGATGTACACCTGAAATTTTTACAATGTTGTAAACCAATGTTACTGCAATAAATAAAAAATTTAAAAAAAAAAGTTTCTCTTGAGCCCAAAGGATCTTGCTTGCCTGTAGCACAAAATATTCCACATGCCAATGTGGCATATCTTGGGGATGCCAGTTCTGAACCCCTTTAGCACCTCCTTGTCTCCTCCCCTCTGCACCTTTACCCTCTCCTGTATGTAGGAGTCATAACAAACCATGGATCTTCTTCTAATTTGATTTTAACTTAATACTAATTGGTATCACTAAGTCTGAATCAATTTTTTTCCTTTGAAGAACTCATGTTTCTTTGGGCATTTATCAGGTACTAGATAGCTTATGGGCATTTCACATTCACCAGCTCCCTGATCCTCCCTCCTTTTCTATGAAGTGGGTATCATTGTCCCCCAATTTTACCTTTTCCAGATCCCACAGCAGGAGGTAGAGAAGAGCTCATGCTCAGGCAACCTGGACCACAGAGTGTGTGTCACTCCCTCTTGCTTCTGGACACCTGGCTGTCTAATCTAATAAGGAATCACACCGGTGATTCTGTGCCCCGCTGGCATGCTCTGAAGATGTGGCAAAATGTGGCCCTGTGTCCACTTGTCAGATGTGGCCTTCTGAAAACTATGAAGTAAATTAGGTGGACACAGGGCTCTGTGGGCTTCTTAGAAACACAGGAGGCTCTTGGATTTGAACAGTTTGAGTTTGAAACTTGGAGCACCTTTCCTTACAGAAACATATAACACATGAGAACTGGGTAACTATCCAAAATCCAATTGAGTTTATAAGGTGGCTGAAATATTGTACTCTGCTTATCTGACCATAGCATAGAGTCACCATTTTCCCAAACTTTTCTGTCAGAGAATGTCTCCGTTTCTAATGAGCACTCCAGATAGCGGGAAGGGTGTTGAATGGAAACTGTGGAGCAGTAGAGTTCCCTGCCCACCAAACATCGTCTCACATTGAAGCCAAGCCTTCAGGATCTGGCCTTGCTGGTGTGGGGGTCAGTGTCCTTAGGGGAAGGGTAGTGTGTGGTGTGGCAGTACCTCAGGCTGCCTTCCTTCATCACGTTGCTGGCAGGGGGAAGCAGGATCCCAGAAGGTCAGCCCAGGGCAACAGGGAGTGGAGGTGTTCTTGGTGATGGTAGGAGGTTGAAGAGGGGCTGAAGACAGCACCTCTACTTCCTGGACTGGTCCAGAAGCTCTCTGGGCCCACTGCCTCTTCTTCCTGCCCTCTGGGGAGCCTGAGAGCAGCCTGGACCCCACACAAGACTGGGGTCTCTGCTGGGGACTCCACTCTCCCCCACGTCCAGGTCTTTCCCCCAGTTCTGCTGGATATCAGCCCTGCTCCCCACCCCCACCCAGCCTGGCATCAGTGAGAGGGAGAGGGTGAGGCAACCACACTGGCCTCCAGTGCAGGCATGGGACTTCCCAGTGGGGACCAGTTCTGCTTTGCAGAGTGATCCTCTGGCTTAGGAGCCTGTGACTAATCACAGAAAGTGAAAAGATACAATGGGAGGGTAGTGAAAATGATGAAACCAAATTTTCATTTGAAAGCCCTCTCTTATCCCTCACAGTCTGACTGGTCTAGCTTTTCCAGACCTTGCTCAAGCATCCCTGAGTTTGTTCCTTATCTTCCCTCCTTGCCTCCTCCCCTCCCCCTACCCATGATGTACACTGGAACCATCCTGTTACTGAGTTGGCTTAGTTACGTACCTGAGGCCAGATCTATGTCTGACTCATATCCAGACCCACTGTGCCCTAGAATGGAAATAGAGACCTGCTCCCATAATTGATGTTAATCCATATTGATGCTAATATTAAAGTATTATATTCTTTATATTGTCGTTTGATATTGATAT